AAATAGAAAAAATTAGCTGGGCCTGGTGGCACACTCCTGTAGTCCCAGCTACTCGGGAGGTTGAGGCAGGAGGATCGCTTGAGCCCAGGAGTTTGAAGTTGCTGTGAGCTAGGCTGATGCCACAGCACTCTAGCCCAGGCAACAGAGTAAGACCTGTCTCAAAAAAAAAAAAACACCCTTTTAAGAAGATTGACAATTGAAAATTTTTTTTAGTCACTTTTTCTCTCTAGACCTTAATTTCTTCATCTATGAAATTAGAAGAATAGACCAGATGATGTCTAAGATCATTTCTAGTTTTTACAATCCAAATCCACCCAGTGCAATATGAGTTATTGAATAAGAAATTCGTTTGAGATGATTGGTGTAACTGTTACACTGACCCCTTCACATGTAGAAAGTGTTTTTCTCTTCATATACTCATCAAGTTATCAAAAAGTATCCACAGAATTTGTTTTAACACATTAACTGCCATGAGAGTTGTATTTAACTCACTCTAGTTTTTTCCCCAGGGCCACGTGACACATATATAAAATATTACTTATGTATGTTCTTACTGTTACAATTAATATTGACAATTCTAAAAACATGGATTGAAATGAATAGAAGTCAGTAAGTTTCATTTTTCTATTTATGTTTACCTTTAAATTACACTTGAAGTTTTTATTCTGTTTTCATAACAAAACACTGTGGCCTCAAGGAAAATTTTCTCATTTTTTTTTTGTTTGGCCATCAAGGTATTAATCTGCTTTCTTTAAGATCTAGGTAAAAAATTAACTTTAGGGTAGGGAAATAATTAGCTCTTTCTATAAATATCATTGTTAGTGACAATTTAATCATTTTTAAAAGGATACTCATTATTAATAGAAATAACCAATTTCCGTTTCTTATATTTTGCTGGTTAAAAGTTTGGATAAAAATAATTATGAGAAGGAATAGAAAAAAGAGAGGATAAGTAAATATAAGAGTAGCTCTCGTAACAAGAAAACTGGTTCCCTCTTTCGTGTGAGCACCAAAAATGACAAAGTAGCAACTGCAGATAAAATGATTTTTAAAATCCTGATCTAAAATGCAAAGATTTTTGATGGTTCATTCTTGTGCATTCATTAAAAAATGTCATCATAACCATTCCAATATATTATATAGACTGTGTTTATATCTTTCCTTCTCAATTGTGTGAGCTTCTAATAGCTAATGAAAAAATTGGTAGTTTTTGTTCTTTGGGCATAAAATAAAATGCAAAGGAAAACAATTTATTTTTTCTATGAATTGTTTTATTGTCTTATAAAGCTAAAATGGGACAATTTTTAGAAAGTTCATCCACATATATATAAATTTTCATTATATTGTCCAAAACTGAGAAATACCATTTATTCATTTAGCTGTTATTAATTGCCTACTGTATGCCACGTACTGTTTAGCACATTAACTGCCATGTGAGTTGTATTTAACTCACGCTAGTTTTGAGCCCGGGGCCTTGTGAAGCATATGTAACTCACACATCTCTTTATCTTGGGAGCCTCGTGGTATGCAGGCAACTCAGGCTGCCATGCTGTAGCATACATGTTATATGATGGGTGGCCCCCTGGGCAAAGCCCTGCAGTTGGTTCACTCCGAAGGCAACTAAATACCTGTGCAACAAAAGACTCAATTCTTAGAAACAAATTCAATAAGTATATTGTGAGTCACATGCAACTCATGTGGCGTGCAGTATAAAAATTGATTCTAGCACCACGTGAGTCGCATATAACTCACAAACAACGCAACAAAAAATAACAAATTGTTCATTAAATTAGAAAGGATTGTTTTGTTTTCAGATTTTTTATTCTAATTTCATAATAAACTACTGGGACCCCAAGGAAAATTTTTTTTTCTAGTGTGGCAGTCAATGTGTTAAGACACTATAAATATAGCCTTAAACAAAGCAAAGTCCCTATACTCATGGTTTAAGAAACTAGAGGACAAAGACTCACATCAGTTTTTAATTTTACTATTTTCTAAGCCAATTTTTTTTTAAAATAAGAATAGCATAAGTCTTTGTTTTAATAACTCTGAATTGAATTTTCTTATAACTTACTTTTTTTAAACCTTTAGATAAAAGAAGCCAATTTCTGGGGTGCTAACTTTGTAATGAGTGGTTCTGACTGTGGCCATATCTTCATTTGGGATCGGCACACTGCTGAGCATTTGATGCTTCTGGAAGCCGATAATCATGTGGTAAACTGCCTACAGCCACATCCATTTGACCCAAGTAAGATGATCTTTTATAGGGCAAGGACTAGAAATTTTGTTGTGTACTTCGTCAGCTCCAATTTTCTCCTAGTTGTTAATATTGTAAGAATACTCCGAATCATCCTAGTGGGCACCCCTAGAGTAAATTATAGCTATACTTGGATTTAAAACAAAAAACACCTGTAATCTGCTTCTGGCAGAAACATAAGGAAATGGGTTAAAGTGTTTATTCTCCTAATATTTCTTCTGCGTTTTATCTGCCATAAGAGGTTTGGCAGGACTGAACTTTTTACTGCTTACTCTGAACCTCCAATCCTTTTCAGTCTTCACATATCTGAATTAATTTACCAGAACAAAAGAGCATTGGATGCCTTCTTTCTGAAATTGCCCATATATCTCATAAGAGAACAATGAATAAGACAGAAATTTGAGTGACTTCAAGATGGTCTTATAATTATGTTCTAGGGTAAGTTTTAGGAAATCTTCAAAATAATATTTTCAATTAACAGTTAAATGTATAGGCATAATTTCCATTCAAGCTCACTTTTGCTGTATACATACACATATGTATAATATATGCATGTCTGGAATTAATGGCATGTTTCTAAGCATTATATTAACATGTAAATTTTATTTCTAGTTCTAGCCTCATCTGGTATAGATTATGACATAAAGATCTGGTCACCACTAGAAGAGTCAAGGATTTTTAACAGGAAACTTGCTGATGAAGTAAGATGTTTATTATACTTATTATTTATAGCCCATATTTCAGTTTGTTCCTAAAATGCTTTCCTAAGAAAAATCAAAGCAGTTTATTATTAGTTGCTAACATAAAACAAATTAATGCAGTTGAGATCAGATTTTAAGAAAAATTAAAATAAAAACATGCCTATAATACTAGAGAGGTAAAATCGAAATAGTAGCTTGCTAATTATAATGTTAATTATTAGAAATACCAGATTCGATATAGTTTTAGAAAAACAGGTTTGATTATTTGTGCTATTATAATAAAGAATCACAAAAATATTTTGTCCTTTTAAGAAAATAATTTTTCTATAGCTATTCTCCATACTCATAGCCATTTTTCTATTTTCAGTTTTTCTTAAACAGGAAATGGGACTTTCTCTTTCAGAATCAATAGGTAACAGAACAAATTATTGGAGAATCTTTATTAATTATATTTTAAGATCTTTTAAGTTTCTTGTTAAAGCAGTCATTTTCAAACTAAGTTCCATAGTACTCTAGGTTCCTTATGAGATTAGGAGGGGAAGGTAGATGATAGGAAGACTGAACTCTGGGCATTTTCTCCCCAACTTCAACCAGAGTTTTTATTTGTGTGTTTCCATATAAGATATCTTACCAAATTGAGGGTCCATTGCTAAAAATGTTAGTAAGTTGGCAAACCACTACTGTAGACCAAAGTTGACAGTTTATTGCACAATTCCCACATACACTTTCATTCATTGAATAGACATTTATAAAATACTTAATGTATGTCAGACACAGTGCTGGGTTTAAAAAGAGAAAGGCCTACCCTCAGACTGGGAAAGACAGACATGTAAACAAACAACTAGAACATACTGTAGTGGGATCAGTGTCAGAGATGTATGCATAGTGTTTTGGAAGCCTGTAGAAAGAACAGCTAGGCCGGGCATGGTGGCTCATGCCTGTAATCCTAGCACTCTGGGAGGCCAAGGCAGGAGGATCGCTCAAGGTCAGGAGTTCGAGACCAGCCTGAGCAAGAGAGAACCCGTCTCTACTAAAAAATAGAAAGAAATTATCTGGACAACTAAAAATATATAGAGAAAAAATTAGCCGGGCATGGTGGTGCATGCCTGTAGTCTCGGCTACTCGGGAGGCTGAGGCAGGAGGATGGCTTGAGCCCAGGAGTTTGAAGTTGCTGTGAGCTAGGCTGATGCCATGGCACTCACACTGGGCAACAGAGCCAGACTCTGTTTCAAAAAAAAAAAGGACAGAGCTGTCTTTGTAAATGGGACAGATAGGATGAAAAAGTCTTCACAGAGAACATAAGAATTGGACTGGAGTTTGAGAAGTAGTAGTTCACCAGGCAGAGAAGGAGCAGAGGAGTATTTGAAACAGAAGGATCAGCGTGTGCCAAGTTATTATAAGGTAAATGAACCATCAGTGTGCCTGAGTGTATGTGCAAAAGTAGCTCAGCTGGACTCAAGATGTAGGCGGGGGCAAGATTATAAAGGGCCCTGTGGGGCACCCTAATGAATTGGGGATTTATTATCATATCATTGAGGAACTACTGATCAGAGTAGCATTTCTCTTCCTCTCATGCTCTCCTTTCTTTCTTCCTTTTTTCCTTCACCATGTTCTTTGCTTTTCCTCTTTTTTCCTTTGCTCATGATTAAACATTAGATCCCTAGATGTTGATGAGCGTTTATTTGGTCCTATTCTTGGTACTTAAGACAATTCATTGTTAACTCTTGCCACAAAGTTTATTTTTCAAGACTACTTTGCCTCAGTAAAGGTAACATCTTCTCAAGGGATCCAACAGACCCAGGGATAATAATTTAACTCTGTTGTGAAACACTGAAATATCAGTTCTGCAATAGAGGAAAATAATGAGACAACACAAAGTAGACTGCTTTGGGAAACAAATTACAAGTAAAAGCTAAATTGAATTCTTGAATGTTTTAAGTGGCCTCAAAGTTTGACCTTTGTCTTTCTGCCAATTGAAAGAGTGGTGTTCTCTGATCTTCCTCTTTTAAATGCAAGTTAAAGTAGATATTTGGCATTGAGTGGCCTTAAGGCAGAAATATAGACATCATACATATAAAGAATGAAGTAATTCCTCCTAGGACCTGCTAATTTTTTACTGTTTTCCTAATCTTAAAGAAAAAGATACAGTTACGCTATGATCTTTGACATGGTTGTTTAACTTGCCTTGTAGGTTATAACTCGAAACGAACTCATGCTGGAAGAGACTAGAAACACCATTACAGTTCCAGCCTCTTTCATGTTGAGGATGTTGGCTTCACTGAATCATATCCGAGCTGGTAGGAACTTTTTAAGTGTACTATTAAAATTTTTATATATTTGAAAAGCATGTTATTAAGATCTACTTTAAAGGGATTTATGAATTTCCTTAATGTCACAAAATGAAGGCAGCTTAACTTCTGAACTAGGATATTTGTGAATGCTTGATCTTAGAACAGTAAATTTATTTCCTCATAAAATAATTTCTTAAAAAATGGTCATATGAAAAGATAGTGACTTGAAAACTTTTTCTTAGAGTATAAGACCATACTATAAACCTTAAGTATGTTATAGTGAGTATACTTTAATAGTAGGTTTGGTCAAAATTAGTCATAGCCCAGACAAAAATAAATGTAACATGCTAAGAAATAAAACAGATGCCTCAGTGTATTTTTTTCAGTTTTTTTGTTTTAGATGATATACTGTGAGTTTCAGTTTCACAGATACACAAAAATGTATATATTACAAGTAATATTCAAGAAGGAATTGAATAATCTATATTCATTACAGTAGAAAAGGTCCCATATCCATTATAAACAAAATGTTTATCAAACAAGAGTATTTATCACTCTTCATTGATTTCATAAATTAAATTGTTTCATATGTTGTATATTATCTATCATTTAATGATAGTTACCATTTATAGAGTAACTACACTGTATCAGGTATTATACTAATCATTTCATGATTTATCTTCATTTATCTCTGACCCTTTACAACGTAGGTTAATTATAATCACTTAATCCCAGGTCACACAGCTGATACATGTTAAAGCCTGAATTTGAAACTAGCTTCCAAGCCCTTACTCCCCTTTGACCTATAAATTTCACTTATAGGAATATATTCAAGTCATTATTGTGATATGCAAACTTCTGGATTATCTGATCGCAAACAACTTTTCTAGCTCATTTACAACATTTCTTTTCTTCTCTAACCATTCCATTTACTCTGGTCCTCTTTGAATTTTGGGGCTACACCAAATACTTTCCCTCCTCAGGGTTTTTATAGTCATGCTGTCCCCTCCCATCCTCTTTGTTAAGATAACTGCTACTTATCCTTCAGGTCTGTATACGCAGTGGATTAAATATCACTTCCTCAGAGAGAGTGGGGAATAGAGAGACAAGTATTTAAGGCAAAATAAACAGCATATAGTATTTTTCTAAGCCCTAGAGGAGAGAATGTGTAACATTATCTGAAAAATTGAAAGACGCCTCATATGTTTATAATTAAAAGAGTTAGAAAATAATCCTTGAATTGAAAATATTAACTATACCTGGAAAGAAAGAAAATTTCAATTGATCAAAACGAAAAATAAACCTGGAATGTAAACAAAAAATGTTAGTAGTCCAACAAAATATTTTTGGAATACTTCTTTGGGCTCCTGTATTAAATTGTAATAACATTATAACATTTTTTGATCCATTTCAATAACAGCAAAGTAACCCTTAAAATTCATCCATTTGGATTTCAGATGTGAGAAAGCAACATTTTATAGAAAAACACTTGCTGATTATGACTCCTAAAATGTGCTTGCTCTTATAGAGTTTATCTAGTAGATGACTCTTTCTCAAGGATTTTCCTATAGAAAACTAATTCTTTTTCCATTTCTGCAAGAATCTATTTTAAACAGGTGCTAATGTGGCAGTGGTTTCTTAGCTAACAGCTACTATTATCCTTTGGTTTTAGGATTAGATAAGATGTTTTATAATATAAAAATTCCCTTTCATTTCTTTTTGCCAGCAATCAAAAATAGATAATTTCTAGTTGGTTTAGTCAGCTTATCCTCTTGCTTCTCTTATGCAAAAGACTAGATAGAATAAGAGAATTTATATTTCTGCTGCTTTTATCCTTAAGATATCTAGTTATTTGATGGGTCAGTTAGCTACTCTTTTCCTCTCCTTCCCTTCAGTGTTCTGTAGTCTAAGCACGATAATGTGTACATATTCAGGAGAGTTAAGAATGGACTTCGGTTAAATAAGCACAAGCCAGCCGTCAGATACCTCTGCCCATCCACTACTCCAAAAGTCTTCCTGGGAGGTCCAGGGAATAGATGTAAGATAGTTTCTTCTTACTGGAGCTGTGATTTTTAATGAAGGACCCTCTTCAGATCACCTTTGGGGCTTTTTAAAACTACAAATACTTGGGTCCCACCCCCTAAAGATTCTGATTCATTTTATCTGAATAGGGTTTGAGCTTCTGCATTTTTAAAAAGCAACCAGAATTATTCTCATAAATAATGCACTAATTCTAGTCTAGGCCACTTCTTGAGATGTAAAGGCAGTTATGACATCCCTAGAAGCTTTGAGAGGCTTTGGAAAGATGGTGTGTATGGATCATTCTGGAATCTTCTAGAATATCTTAGAATCTGATCACGTTACTCTGCTGATTAAAATTCTCCTGCGCCTCCACATGTTCTTAGGATAGCATCCAAATGTGTTAACTTGTCTTATAAGAACCCTGCATTATCTCTTGACATTCGTCCTTAATCCCTCTGGACCTTGGCGCAGGATGGCCATTGTTGCTCTGTGATGGGTTTGCAGAGCCTGTCATCATATCAGCTCATAGTCGCTTGTGAACTCACGCCCAAATTCACTCCATCAGCAAGTAATGTTCACTTCATTCCAGAATATGCCTAATATTTATCTACCTGTGGTCTCCCTGCCTCTACTCTTGCTCTCATACAATCTGATTTTCACACAGCAGCCAAAGGGATCCTTCTAAAACACAAGTCAGTAAACTTTTTCTTTAAATAGCCAGATTATAAATATTTTAGGCTTTATGGGCCACATGGTTTCTGTTGCAGCCACTCAACTCTGCCACTATAATGCAAAAGCAGCCATATAGTATGTAAATGAATAGTAGTGACTCTGTTCTAATAAAATTTTATTTACAAAAGCAGGCAGTGGGCTGGATTTGCCCATGGACCTTAGTCTGCTGAACCATTTTTTAAAATATAAATTAGATTATATCACCTCCTCTTAAAATTCTCAGGGGCTCCCCATTGCTCTTAAAGTAAAACCTAGACTTCTTACCCTGGTCTACAAGGTCCTGCATGACCTAAACCCTGCCAATCTCTGACTTCGACTCATTCCAGCTTTCTCCTGGCTCACTGCATTTTCGCCATTTTGGCTTCTCTTCATCAAACTCATCAAGCTTATTAGCACATTTAGGACCTTTTCACTTACTGTTTCCACTCTGAAAGACTTTGCCTCTAGAACTTCACATACAGTTGAGGTCTCATTTCCAGTGTCACTTCCTTAGACTGGTCTTCCCTGGTCACCCAGCTAAAGTTGCTTTCTGTGTCTTACTTCGATCTTCCCTCTCACTTTAGTCACTCTCTGCTCATTGCTTTATTTTCCTCAAGTACTTATCCTCTAACTTTTCATTTATTTGTTCTCTTATTACAGATTTGACAAAAAAACATTTGTTGTCTGTCTTCCTTCTGTAGAAAATAAGCTTCTAGAAAATAAGAGACTTAGTTTGTCTTATTTTGCAAATGGATGTTTAACCCCTAGAAAAGTGCCTACTACATAATAGTTGCTCAGTAAATGTTGAATAATTTGATAAATAAATGAACTTCTAGTATCAAATCTCTAGCTAACGAGTTTTATATTATTTATCTTAATAAAGTAAATAAATTCTTTACAAATGATAGCCTGAGAGAATAAAACAACAGTATTTTTTGGAACACAAGTTTCCTTCAGGGAATTGTTTTCATATCTCCACCTCCCCCCGGCAAACTTAATGTCTCTTCATATGATATCTTCCCCAGCCAAAAATAATTTTCTGAAGAACTATTCCAACAGAAAATCAAAGGAAGCTTTACACAAATGTAAACTTTATTTGCAAAAGAAATTCGGTGTTGTCTACTTTTGGAAAATCATGTATATAGAAGCAATTCTTATTTCCAGTTTTCATTTAAAAAATACCTTGTTCTTCAGACCTCCTTGGTCCATAATTGCCAACCAGAGATTTGCGTGTTACTGCTTTGTAGTTTTGCTACTTCAGTAACACTTTGTAAACAGATTTTATTTAATTTTTTCTTAGAAATTGGGTTTACATTTTGAGAGAGGTGGCTAGACAGTAGTTAAATGAGTTGGATATCAGGATAGAACAACTATATTCTGCCCTCCTCATTCCAGAAGCCACTGCGAATTATTCCGTGACCCATCATAGAGACTCTTGGCCCGCACTTGTCTCTTTAAGGCATGCCTTGGACTGCAGAGTTCTGACCTCTACTACACAGTCTCCGATTTAAAGGCTGTGACATTTTTTTCTTAACCTTTTATTTTCCCATCTTCATTTATAGTCTAACAACCAAAAGAAGTTTGGGTAAGAAGCCTACAAGCTTAGAAACAGGCTAATACTGCTTCCTCATGCTTCACTAACATGACAAAATAGATTTCTTGAAATAGTCAATCATACCCAAGATTCCCATTCATGCAACTTTTAATGTTTTGCTCTCTCTTGAAAGTACCTTACACAATAAAAATAATGATTACATTATTAGATTAGATTAGATATTTTAGATTAACATCCTTTAGATAGCCTTTTATTGGTCAGAAATTCTTCCACTGTGTTTAGATTCCTTATTAATCTAGGAAGGTCTATTCAAATCTTATTTTGTTCATTTATTTTACAAATGTGTATTAAATATTTATATAATGGTAATAATAATAACTAAAATTTATAATTAAGATTACAAATCTTACACACATAATCTCATTGGTTTGACATTGGATTGGAGTCTGCATAGAGGAGATTTAATCTAATTCATTTAGACATTAAAGATAGATTCCCTTCTGTATACTGTCCTTGGTACTGTTAACCTAGCATCCAGTGGGAGTGTTTAAGCCTTGTAGATAATTGATATTGACAGAGCAACTGAACTGTTTCCCTTACATCTTACCTTAATATTTCCATGTTACCTTAGGGTAGTGTTTCTGTGGCAGAAACATCCTGTTTCATCCTAGTAGTGGTAGTGATTTTATGCTGTTGCCTACTTCACGTACCCTATTGTAATATATCTTACCTTCATAAAACTTATATTCATTTATTCAGTAAACCTTATTGAACATCCTACATACACTAGGCTCTAAAGATATAAAGATAAAAAGAAATCACTCCCACCCTCCAGGAGCTCACAGTCTGGTCTGCGAGAAGACACGCAAACAACTATTACTGCAATTAGGATCATCATTATAAAGTTCATAGAGGATATTCCGGCTGGGTACAGTCACTCATGCCTGTAATCCCAGCCACTCAGGAGGCCAAGACAGGAAGACTGCTGGAGCCTAGGAGTTCAAGGCTGCAGTGAGCTATGATCGCACCCGTGAATAGCCATTGCACTCCAGCCTGGGTGACAGAGTGAGACCTTGTCTCTTAAAAAAATGTATATTCTGGAACATGGTGGGGAGGGAGTTCATAATTTTGTAGATGGGATGTTTGAAAAAGTCCAGAAAAAGTTTCACAAAGGGGACAATAGTTGTATTGAGATGAGTAAACAGAACCATTGTAGCCAAACAATGGACAAAAGTGTCCCAAGCAGAAGAACAGCAAGTGTAAATCGTGCAAACTTGAGAGAACATGCCGTGCTCGCTCACAGCAGTTTGTAATTATGTGCTCAGTTGAGTAACCTAGATAAGCTCCTTGAGGCCGGAAAGGACATCTGTTTTGGTCACCATTGTATCTTCAGTTTTTAGCATAATGCCTGGAACATAGTATTTAATTTTAAAAACTCTTTTTACAGAGTTACACAAATCCTCAGCGGTGGTCCCTACATTCTCTGTCACACAGCCGCCGCCTCATTTCTTTTAGTAGCACCTGATATGCACCCTTAGACCTAGAGTCCAAAGAACACTGTTCGAAAGCCAGTGCGGTCGAACATAATATATCAAGATCTTTAGGGGTGGGTTTCTTTTTATTATTATGTTTTAGAATTACATGCATATTCAAAACTAATAATACTGTGTTCTTTATTCTTTTATTTGCCTCTAAAAAACAACTTGTCTACACATAGTGGTGAATGAACTGATTTTTACATATCGATGTTTGAATTATATACATTTTAATCAGTTTTAAATAAAAGGCATTGTAAATTATTTATAATCATAATACTAAAAGTATTTCTTTTTGTGATCCTCATATCTGTGTTTTCCAGACCGGTTGGAGGGTGACAGATCAGAAGGCTCTGGTCAGGAGAATGAAAATGAGGACGAAGAATAATCAACTCTTTTTGGCAAGCACTTAGATGTTCTGAAATTTGTATCAGACATTTATTATATTTTTTTCTTTACAGAGCTTTAGTGCAATTTTAAGATCGTGGTTTTTTGGAGTTTTTCCCTTTTGGGGGGATAACCTAACATTGGTTTGGAATGATTGTGTGCATGAATTTCGGAGAGTGTGTAAAACAAAACTAGCAAAATGTTTTAAAAACTTTTTGCCGTGTATGAGGAGTGCTGGAAAATGCAAAGTGCAATATTTCCCCTAACCTTCAGATGTGGGAGCTTGGATCAATGTTGAAGAGTAATTTTCATTATAGTGAAAATATTGGTTCAAATAAATTTCTACACTTGCCATTTGCATGTTTGTTGCTTTCTAATTAAAGAAGTTGGTTGTTTTAAGATACCCCGAATTTGACTTTTTATTTAATGCCTTACTATTTTCACCCACATTTTCCAGTCTTTTCTGCAGCATAAGAGGACTATTTTTCTCTGTTCTTTTCTAGATTTAATAACCTTTCTATTTTGACTTCTTGGGATAACACATAGAAGGGCTTTTTTCATTTTCCTTTCAAAAAAGTACAGTTGACCTTTGAACAACATTGAGGGTGGGACATCGTCAAAAATCTGCGTGTAATTTGACTCCCCCAAAACTTAACTACTAATAGCCTACTGTTGACTGGAAGCCATACCAATAACATAGACAGTTGATTAACACATATTTTGTATGTTATATATATAATATACTGTATTCTTACAATAAAGTAAGCTAGAGAAAAGAAAATGTTATTAAAGAAAAGCATAAGGAAGAGAAAATATATTTAGTATTCATTAAGTGGAAGTGGATCATCATAAAGGTCTTTATTCTCACTGTTTTCATGTTGAGTAGGCTGAGGAGGAGGAAGAGGAGGGATTAGTCTTACTGTCTCAGGGGTGGCAGGAGAAGAAAATCCACATATAAGTGGACCCGCATAGTTCAAACCTGTATCATTCAGGGGTCAACTGTACTTTTTTTTCACCTCCAGTCATCATCTCTCATGATCAGTGGTACCTCATGACACGGGTACAGGAGTGAGGCTTCCAGCAGAAATCACTGGGAGCATCATGGGTAGTTTACATGTTAGCGCAAACGAGTCTTGAAGGCACTGGCTTCTGGCCTACCTCTGTCTCCAAATTCTGGATTTCACTGCAAGTTGCTGACCATCCAGTCTTCTCATTTCTGGTCTTCCTTAACTATAGCGTCCCCGTCCGTTCAAGTCATCTACGCGCAGGCCTAGTTATCATGTAGGTTATGACCTGAAACTGCTTCTGCAGACCTAACCCTTCCGTGATTCTCCCTCCCCTCTCCTAAATTTTCATTCTGTTGGCGTCTTCCCCTGAATCTAATCACATGCTCACATCTCTTTAATCCATTCACAAAATAAAATCTTTTCTCAATACTGAAGTATATACTTTCTAATTTCTTTCGTCCTCTTGTTATCCAAATGAGCATAGTAGCTTCTGGCTTCTTTTTGCTACTTTCTTGATGTCCATAGCCTTCAGAAGTCAGACCTGCCAGGTGGGAATGAGTTAGTTTGCTACCCCATGACACCTTGGAGGCAAAAAAGCAAGCATGACAGAGTGATGTGTCCACTGTTTAATGGTCCAAAAGGACGATTTCAAAGGCACACTCACTTGTGCTCTGTCTCTCTCTCTCTCACACACTCTCACACACACACACACTCAGCATTTGCTGTTACAAGTTTCTGGGATGGCATATAGATTCTTGCTTTTTGAGGGAAATGTCTTTGAGTTTCCAGTTAGTGAGCTCTTGGACACTGTCTTACTTGTGAAGGACAGAAACTAACCCCAGCAACTTCTCTGTGACCTACAATCCGGCCAGTAACCATCTTCACTGTACCTCCCTGCCAACCAACAGTTGGAGAAGAAACTGAATTACGTGCTTGCACTGATCATTGTACTCATCTTGAGACAGCCATCCAGTGCTGCCAAAATTATAACACTGATACAAAAAAGAAAATGTTGGGGTTGTCAAGGTTGATCCATGTGATACCTCGTCCGTCACCAGCAGCACCAGCCTTGAGCACACTCCGGAGGTGAGTATCAGACCATCAGTGATGGCACACGGTAGCTAAAAGGCAAGTGCCAATGCCAAATCTGATGGTCTGCCATGGTCATTCTCAACCTTGAGCCTCTCTATTGAGGCTTTTGTTGTTTTTGCTGTAACAGCTGCCCTTTTTTGTTGAAAGTAATATACCTCTTATTGCTTAATTAGCAGTTAGTTGAAATATTCCTATTATTTTCAAGAATCTAAATATCCTGGGCAGAAGGGACTAAGACTAAGACATAATCCCTCTGACTGGCCTCACAGGTGTAGCCAAGCAGAGCATCCCTCTCCCATACAGAGAACAGGATCTCTCATCCCCACAAGACGGCGGCAAGCCCAGAGCCACCTGCTGCTGAGAGAAGACAGGCTAGTGTTTTGTATAGAGGAAAAATAACTCCTCAGTTCACTCAGTAAGTTCAACTGGACTTCAACATCTCAACATCTAGCTCTTACCTGGACAAAGGCACACATGTATCTACATAGAAAACATGGCAAATGGTCAAAGGGATAAAGAAATCAGCTTTAGCCAGACAGGTCACTGCTTGATTTCTGGAAAGCACAAGGGTCTTTGTTTCTGGTTCCCAATTAGTTATGTGCCCTGCTCAAGCCATCTAATTTCTCTGGGTTTGTTTCCTTCTCCCTAAAGTGAGGATGATCATGTTTGCCCCACCTATGTGATGAGGGCTGTGTCGGGGCCACATGAAGCCATGGAGGTTGAAGGGCTGTACAGGACAATCGAAAAGACTGCAGTAGGCACACAATATGTTGTTTCTTCCACTTTAACAAAACTAACACATGTATCCTATAGAGGGGTGTTGGAAAGCTGACAGAACAGGGGTTACTGGAGGGCTCGGTGGGGTCAAGGAGTAAGTCTTTGGTAGGAAAAGCAATGGAAGAAAATCAAAATGGCGCTTGCCCACTCTGGCACAGAATGTGGATGGGGAAGAGAGGATGTACACATGGCAGCAGGGCCCATAGGGACTCTGGACTTTCTGCTCAATTTTGCTATGAACCTAAAACTGCTCTAAAAAGTTACTTGTTAAAAAAGAATTTGTCAGAGGAACTAGGTCCCCCTACCCAGAGCAGTGTTGCAGAGTTTTGGTATTGTTCATTGCTCAGTAGGGCATGTCAGACAAGCAGCCGGAAGGCAGCTGAGTGAATGCCATCTACACAGGCAGCATTAACAAGTTCTGGCCGCTTCCAAGACTCAGTGTCTGCGGGGGGCAGCCCGGAAAGTTAGGACTCACCTACCCACTCAGAAAAAGAAAGATGACTTTAGCCGTGGCAGGTCAGGGGGTCAAGGAACGGTGGTGGGTTTAGTGCCCTGAGGTGCTTCTGAGTCTCGAAGGTAATGATAATCTGCCACTTGCCCTGTCTTTAACTTCGATTATGGGATGGAAAATATTTCTGTATCTAGATAGACAGATACAGCACTGATGTTCATTAAACTTCCTTTAAAAACTTTGGGTTAGAGTGTTTCTTGGGCATGGTGAGAAGTAGGTCATTTAATAATACTGTACGGATTTAATTGCCTTGGGGACATTTATGAAAACCACCTAGATAGATATTTCCAGGTGACTTTAGTGTGGGAATCTTCCCCCCCCCGCCCCCTCCCCCAATTCTGCAAGTCTGCCCCTTCCTGCTCAGTCTCCTTCCTCCCTGTAGCCCGTGGGAAGGAGGCTGGCAACAGGGATGTGGCTGCAGAAAATAGGGAAAAGGAGAGGCACCCACCAAAGCCCGCAGATCACAAGTCCGAGTACAAATGCACAATTTCCACAGCTACACACGTACCAAAAACATTTAATCAGGTAAACAAAACTATTCTAAGTACACTTTTACTTGTTTATAAATATTGGTTTATAATAATCCTAAACTTTTTTTAATCTTTAAAAAAAAGTCATCCAGAGACTTCAAGTTAAATATATTTCAGGATTAGCTTGGTTTTTTGCTTTTCATTTTTTGAAGGTTGGTTTTTAACCAATTCTGCATCTACGAGTCATTATCAACACAACACAGGGCTCTGTCCCTTCAGCGTGCAGGCTCTTCCTGCCGCACTGCACTCTGGACGTGGCCGCGCCTGCCCAGGCCTGCGCTGGTCCCTGGGGTGGCTGTTCCTCCAGGAGTGCTGCTGGCCTGTGCTCGGTGGCAGTGGTATTTCAAAATGGTGGTGTCCAAAGGAAAAACACAAGTGGCTTCTAATTCCTAAGCTGTTAATACTGCTCAGGAAAATACTTTCGGAGGGAAATGAACACGGCTTATTATATTCTCCTAAAAATAACACTGACCAAAATTGTGCTCTTTGTAATCTTGTGCATATTTGAGTTTGCGCTTTGACATTTTCAAAGGAATCTTTTCAACATATTGGAAATACTTTGGAATCCAAAGTATATACTGGATACTTTCTGGTGAATCCAATCACTTTTCTTGAGCCTTCAGTGTTTTTAGGTCTGGCCAGTGGATATTAATTATCTCCCAAGCTCCTTGGTTTACAATAGTTCCTTATACCTATCTAATAAAGCCAGCTGGATTGTTCTGCTATCAATGACTTTTAACTATCCCTCATCCTGCTTGAGCCATAAGGCTTGCTCCTTCCTTCCCTCAGCCCATGGCCAAGACCTGGAGTTTGGCCCTGACTCTGACTTAACTCACTTTGAGACCCCAGACAATTTCCCTAGGCATCCTGGATTCTGTATCTCCCCTCTCCCCAACCCACAAGGATGGCATGGCTCTGCTCCTTCTTGTAGGCATACATGGCTGGTCACAGCCGTGTTCCTTTGCCTCAGGGTGGAGACCAATTTCCCTCGAAGCCTGGAGTTCCATGTACACTGTGGGTAGAGCTTGGACTCCTATCCCTGCCCTGCCTCCTCCCTCAGAGGCTTGGAGGATTACAGATTCTGTGAACCCAAGAGCCACAGCCAAGGAGTCACTCTGTCACTGCAAGACAGAGCTGTCCTCAACAACCATGGGAGAATGTCCCTTCTCGGCTGCAAGGAAGGTCAAGAATGAATTTGTGCTGTGATTTGGGACTCTACACGGGGCCCCGGGGTTCGACAGCCATTTAGGGCAACATTTAGATTACCTTATCTTTGTGCAAACAGGCCAGTACTGTGGAGGATGGGCATTTTTAATAGAAAAGGCTCACTTTTGCTCCCCCAAACCTCGAGTTTCAAAAGCTGCTTAGCCTTTCCTCCCTCCTCTCTATTGCCTTCCCCTCCTGACCGCATCCCTTCGTTCTCAAAAGTCCTTTTGTGCCGTACAGCAAACATGACAATTCCTATGGCAACAACCTTTGACACCTCCAATCTAGGATAACGGTTACCTTTTTAAGATTCTCACTTCTTGTTACAAAGATCCCTGTAAAACGAGAACTGCACTCCTCCCTCACGCAGTTGCCGAGAAGAAATGCCAGGGGCTCCCAGCTCCTGCGCTGGGTGCTTCGCAAGGATTTCCTCGTGTAATCCACACAGTCAGCCTCGAAGGGAGCCCTTCCCGGAATACTAGGTGTCCCCACGTAGAAAGAGATTACCAAACCTCATTTTACAGATGAGGAAACCGAGGTGCAGAGACAGCGAGTAACTTGCCCAACACCCAGCTAAGAAGCGGCAGCGCGGGATCCGAACTCACCACCGCACCACACTGGCGCTATTCCCGCCACATCACATCTGCACTGAAGTGAATGAGACAAAGCACTTGGAAGTACCTAACAGTGAGGTCCAACAGGTCAGGCATACAGCAGGCACTCAACACGTGCTAGTCCCTCGCCTCCTGTTTTACAGCCATGTCACCCTCACAGCTCCTTCCAGACAGGACACAGCCAGAGCTGAACACTTGAATGTGTGCTACGGTCCATCCAAAGATCCATCTCCGGTCTGCAGGCATCTGTCTCAGACACATACTGTCTGCGTGGGAAAATATTCAGAGTGTTAAATCTAAACAGACTAACAATCTCTCATTGTATCAAAGAGATTTTCCTCCCTCTCCTGTCCCAACCCAAACTTCCTTGGCCTGTTGCAAACATTGAGTTAGGCTCACTGGTTGCTCGATGCTTTGCAGAAAGATCACACAGCCACTCCTCAAATGAGAGTCAAAGAACATTGGCACCCGATGGCCCTGGTCTGACGCTCCTCAACTCTGCTTCTCCAGGAGCAGTGGTTTGCTTGAAATCACACAGTGGAGTAGTGGCAGCACCTGTGAACCCGAACGGGGGTCACACACGTAAGGAGGTTAAGCAGGGGGTCCAAGGTCACCCAGGCTGAGGACTGCAGTCATGGCAAAGGCGTGCGGAGCAAGAAGCAAACACGCTTTCAGGTTTCTCCTGGGCTCATCACAGCCACACTGCTGCCACCTAGTGTCTAAGGCCCTGAACTCCAGTCTTGGTGCCCCTAGCCAGGAAAAAGGCTACGTGTTGAGCTGTGTGCCCTGCAGTGTGGCCCTCCCAATGCCTTCTGGGTCAAAATAGCCCCAATCCTGGTAGCTGGTATCTGTGGCACAGCACAGGGACCCAGGCAGGTGGCAATCTCAATGCAAGCACTGATGAGCAACAGCCCTAAAGTGGTCGCGTCAAAACCAGAAGACACAAGACCAAGGTATTTAAGCCAACAAGTAACCAAATGTCCCACCTGCCACTGTCCATGGGGTCACCTCAGGACAGCCTCAGGCCTGCCACTGCATAGCGGTTTACAGCTAACGAGCCTGAGTTTAGTGGGGGAAGTTGGGGGTTTTGACCTTCTACACTAATGGCAGATGTCCTTAAAAATGCCTCTACGCGTGGAGGTTCTCTGTTCCCTCCCTCCCCATGCCCACTCCCGCTCTCAAGCTGAATCAAGGAAAATCCGAATTTCTGAATATGCAAAATATGGTTCTAGCTGCCAAATAGCCTCCAAGACTTGGCTCGAACTGTCACCTACCTCATGGAGCCCTAACTCCCTGTTTGGAAATATCCTACTGTCTCTGGAGCCACCATTCTTTCTACGATCACCACTTCTCTTTGCCATTTATTAGAATCTGTACTGCCCAGGTCTCTCTCCTTGAGTTGCAGTGAACACTTCGGTGTTACTGCCCACGGCGCCTAGCTTGGTGCTTTGCACACAGTGGGTGTGCAGTGTCTGGTAGGTGATGAAATGAATGGACTTCAGCTAAAAAAAAAAAAAAAAAGGAAACAATGAATCCTTTTGTGAAATGCAGTCTTTCTAGATTGGCTTAGATTAAATCCTATTATATTCCACCTAGTCTGGGGTCAGCCAATGGGGACTTGGGGAGGCCTCAGGATTCCCTCCCTAGCTCTAGCCCAGCCTAGTGCAGTCAGGAGAGCACGCTCCCACCCCCCGGTTCCAAGCCAATTTCCTGGCGACCCATCCCAGAGGAAAAGGTCTCTCTGCGCTATTCTACCTCCGTACGTACTAGTTGATCAGAAATGTGGTCCCTTCAAAAACTAGACAAGTGCTAGAAAAAATATATATACAGAATATATATAGCAAACACAAACCACCCTCAGCCTCAGGAATGCCACGCAGCAGTGGGAGCAGAGTCTCCCACTGTGCACTGACCTGCACATGTCATCAGCAGAACCCACAGGTGAACGTGCCCTCTGCTCCTTCCCACTGCCGCTCAGAACCCGGGCCAGGGCCTAGCACGCGGATGACCTAAACAGGTGTTGTTGATGAGTTCGGTCGCCACAGGCAGCAGGACCTCAGGCCTCAGGAAAGGTCTTTTGTAAATTGCAGACCAGGGTACGAGCCAACCGCTGTTTCTGCCACACACAAAAAAGACACTACCCCACCAGGAGGTAGCTAGATCCCAAAGAAAGCAACACAAAGGTAATTCACTTTCTAGAACAGCCGCCTAGTAGCAGGCACAGCGAGATCTCCTTGGAATCTACCCTCTGCTGACCAAGGCAGAGAAAGTCCTGAACTTAGATTATTTTGTCCCAGGCTGAAGGGCGGACACAAGGGGGGATCCACCGGCCACCAAAGTCACCACAGCAATTACTCCAAGCCCAGACTTCAATGGATGCTCCGACTCAAAGGGGAGAGGAGTGCGGTCTACCCAGACAAACCACATTCCCGCTGTTCCGCCTCCACTTGAGGCGGTGACCTTCTCCCTCCGCTTACGCATCTTGGTGGCTGGCACTCTGTCCCGACTGTGCTCTAAACAGACAAGTCAGACGAGGACACACTTCATATGTCCACCAGCAACTACACTCAAAAGTTATACAAATATTGGTCCATGGGTCTACTTTTGGTTTTTTTCCTACCTCTAATTTACAAATTCAGAGACTATCAAAGGTCAGAGCTGGAAATGATCTTGGAAACCATTCAGTCCAACTCCCCACTCCCTTTTCCCATTTTACAGAGGACCTAGAGAGGTGACAAGATGTCCCAAATGACACGTGTGCACACAAAGGCAGAGCTGGGCCAAGAACCAAGGCTGCCGACTCCGGGCCCAGTGCTCTTGCTGTCCTGTCTATGCTGCCCTGGGCTGTAATGAGGGAGTCTGCCCTGCGGGACTGTGGCCAGCTATTTTCACTGGTCACTCAAACGGCACACACAGCATCTACTCAGTGAGGCTTTCCCATGGGAAGGGACTCCCTTCAATAAAACAGTATGTTTCCCGGCCGTGCTTGGCACAACGGCCCCATTTCGTCTGGGTAAAACAGCGGTATGTCCTAACCCAATGGATTCTTTTTCATTCTGGAAATGAACCCACCTGGTACCTGCCCCCTCCTCCTATCTTATAGTGGTTTCGCCCTTCTTTTGAAATACCAAAGAATTTGTCAGTAGGGAAAGGGGGCAGGTGGGCCCCCAACCTCAGAGGCTCATGGGCTGTCCCTGCGAGCACCAACAGGAGGCGACCTCGAGGGCCAGCTCCTAACCAGGACAGGCGGTGTGGGAAGTCGCTCTGAGGCGCTCTGCTCCTGGTGCCCTCTCTGTGGGCCCCACCGAAGCCGTGGGGCTGACGCTCTGTTGGGAAGAACTGCGGTGCCATCCTCCAAAGCGCACTGGGAAGGGATCCCCTCCTGAGGCCTCGGGGACAGCATGTGGCCGGACCCCCAGGACACGGCGGTTTCCTTCCAAGCCCACGGTCTCTCGTCCTCCTCTCAGCCCCACCTCCCCAAAAGCCAGGGCCACACCGCCACCTGCTTTTTTTTTTTTTTTTTTTTTGCTTTAGATGCTTCCGGTTCCATCACTGGGACCTCCAAGAAGCCCGTGGTCTCAAGGCGGACACTGAAGTCAGGGGCTGCAGACATTATTTTCAGTCCTTTTCCAGGTGGTTGCACACCAGACGTTTCCGCCCGTGTTGGGCCCACTGTGCACAGTGCAGCCCCCAGGGCACTGGCACAGACGGTGACGGGAAGCCCTCCACGGCCGGTGTCTCCACTCCAGCCCCAGCCCCAGTGCACCCCGAGGCCTTCATCTCTGCTCTGCAGCCAACACGTTCCCTTCTTCGATGCTCTGCAGCTGGAGCCTCTGGCTTGCAAGAGTCCTGCTGCCCCGACGGCCCCCGAAGGCAGCCCCCGGGACGGTCCGCGTCGCAGACAAGACCCCTGGCAGAGCCTCCTCCCCAAATAAGTTGATCTTGGCTTCAGCCTCGATGGCTTTGGCCAGGCTGGCTGCGTAGCTGTCCAAGGACTTGTGTACTTCGGCTTTCACGTGGAGAATGGAGTTCTTGGCGGCCTCTGAGGGAGAAGGCAGAAGAAAGGTTAGCGGAGGAGACAGGACCAGCGACTACCCCGGAACGTGCCAGCCATGGCTCAGCTGCCCCGGGGAGGGGACGCAAATGGAGGGCAAGGGCACGGGTTTTGAAGTCACAGTCCCTAGGGTGAATGCCTTGACTCCCCGACTTTCTACCTGGGAAATCTCAGAAAAGTGATTTGATCCAGCCTCAGTTTCCTCAACTGAAAAGAGAAGGTAGTAAGACACCTCTCATTTCACAGGGTTACTGTGATCATGCAGTGAGATCATTCTTTCTAAGACGCTTAGAAAGGCCTGATAAATACTTCCTAGCATTATTCATCAGAATTTTTAAAGTTTTACATCTTTGAAAGAGTCCGCCAGTCCTTTCATTCCCTGAAGCAGTGTAAAATCCACAGCTACAAACTTCCAAAGCTGAACATCATCTCTCTCTCCCCACACTCGCTCAGAGCTTCCCCACGGTCGTGGAGAACCTCAGGGCTGGAAGCGACATTAAAGGTCCAAGCCCCCACCGAGGATTAGAACCGCTGACAACTAAAAGGACGGAAGTGAGGGAGGGAGGAGGCTGTTCTGTGTCGCACCCACTGCTCTGTTATTATTAGTATCAGCCTCACTGCCTATCTGTGTGGACGTCGGTGGGGAACAATTTCCCCTCCTCCTCACATCTGGAGAGTGGGCGACCTGCAGGCGGCAGTCCAAGAGGGAAAAGCGTGGAGGGACCTCTGGCCTCCCTCTGCCTGGCCACTCACTCTCGGGCAGGGGACTCCCCTGGCAGGGCCTTGCTGTCTAACTGCCACCTCCGCAAAGCAGGCACGATGGGGCCAGGGGGCCCCGTGCGGGCTGGGGTTGGGGAGGGGTTCAATTCACGTGCTCTGTGAAGGGTAATACATTATAAGACCCATGAGGCTGGCAGCCCAAGCTCTGTTCTAGAATCCGCTTTGCCAGTGAAGTGGGTGCTCGGACATCTACCTCTCCGACCTCGGCTCGTTCTGAGCTCAGGGAGGGGCGGCAGAAGAGCTGTGATTAATTACGAACCTAACTCCGACGGGCGCGTTGACTTTCGCAGTCGCCATTTCTGAAGAACTTAGGTCTTAAAGTCCCTGCACTCGCTGCCGCGCCCCCAGCCCGGGCATGTCGGTGGCTGTCCTCACCGGTCTGTGGGCAGCCTGGGCGGCTCACTCATCACCCTCCTAATTAGCAAGTTCGAGAGGCGACAAGGGTGCTGGGGCTGAGCCGAGAGCACGTGGAGTAGGAAACGCAGGGGCTGGACGACCGCAGGGCCGTTCCCCTCGCGGGACTCAAGAGCCATCGCAGCTCAGAAAGGGCAACAGACAAGCAAGGTGGCAGCTTTTGCTCCAGGAAGGTATTAATGGATCCATTCACCGGGCCATTATTTCACTTTCCACAGGGGGAAACTGAGGCTCAGAGGGCGCAGGTGCAGATTTATAACCACGCATCACCCGCCCGGGAACGAAACTAAGGGAAAGGGCTCAGCGACCGTTTTGTCCACCAGGCAACCTCCGAGGGAGGAGACGTGACCCAGAATCTGGGCTCTGTGTGGGGGGAGCCTGGAGCCACTGTCCGTCCAGTCTCTGAGAGTCGTGCCGAAGGACTCAGGTGACACCCGCAGGGCCGGGAGGAATCAGGGGGTGGGCAAAGGCCACGGCTCTGGGGTGAGGCGGGGCTGAGCCCAGGGATTTCCCTTTGATCCTTTCCTCTCCCCTGTTCTCTTGAAGCCATCTGTCACAGAAACCCACCTTTGATTTGTTCCACCTCATCCTCAAATGTCACCGAGCTCCTTCTCCTGGGTGGGCAAGTACAGTGGGAGGGAGGGTTGTCATCAGAGGTGTAGTCCTCAAGCAGCATCACGTCCGTCCCTGCAACATAGGGCCGACTGTGCATACGAACCAGCAACACGAGGTCCCCCCACTTCTCCCCTCCCGCGGCACCCCGGCTCCCTCTCTCCCCCCCTTCAAACCCGTAACCAGGGGCCCTAACTGCCCCGTGGCATCTGCCCAACGAACACCTGTCGTCCTATTTCATGGAGTCTGCAGACAGCCAGTGGGCTGCTTCAGCCACATGGAAACGACGGTAACGCCACCCAGAGCAGGGGGTCATGAGCCGCAGGGAACGTGACCCAGATGCTGGAGTCTGCCAGGCCCGTGGGGAGGGGAGAGGGAGCAGGCCGGGCGAGGAGAGGGTCCTGTCAACAGGAACTCTGTATCCTGAGCGATTCTTCTTACCGTCTGAATTTCTATCTCAATCAAGATATGCTGCACTAAATAAACATTTACAACTTGAAAATGCAAAGTTCCTTGGGGATCAAAAAAGGATTAAAAGTATACTCCTAAAAAAGTGGGAAAATTAGGGCAGAGAGTCAAGGAAGTCGCATCAGAGAGAGCTGGGCAGAGTAGGCCGGTGGAGGGAGATGGGGACAGAGGGCAGGGAGTGCCGAGGAGGGACTGTCACTCAACGGGGCCCCGCCCGACACTGGGGCCAATGGTGGGACCAGCCTTGCTCTCAGCTCCGGCTCTCACCCAGCAAGGCCTTGGCGCTCAGGACACAGAAGGAGGCCCGGAGCTCCCCCCGTGCTGTTCCAGAGCGCCCGGCCAAGCCTCTGGAAGGAGCAGCCCTTTGGAAGGCACTGGAACATGGTGCTAAACAGACCTGGGATCTTCCCACGTCAGTGAAATGCGGATCCCCACTCACCCCGCCTCTCAGAATCATAGCGAGGATTATGAGTCGAGATACGTAAAAATTTAGCCCAGTGCCTGGCACGCAGCAGGGGCTAAATCGATGGCAGTCACTAATGGGGACACTAATAGATGGCAGGGCTGACACCCACGCCCAGGTCCTGTGACCCCACAGCCCGCGTTCTTCCCTCACTGCTTGGGCATGGCCACCTCCCACCTGCTCTCGGGCTCCGCCACCCCTTCCACAGAGCAGCCCCGGAGCCCCCTGCCGCCTCCCTGCTCCGCGTCCCCGCCCCACTCAGAGAGATGGGGTAGCTCAGAGGCCCTGCTGTGTTCCGCTTGCTGCTTCAGCCCCGGGATTGAACCCCGCTCCCCTCCCCACCCCACCACACCCCAGCGCAGGGACAGACGGCGGCCCCAGGATGGGCAGCGGAAGTGGCCAGGAGCCTGGGCTCTTCAGCAATGCGAAGCTGCAAGACCCTTGCACCTCTGCCCACGTGTGCCTCACCCAGGGCCGTGTGCGGTTCCTGACGGCGCCCTCGGAGCACAGGGTGTGGCAGCCGCGGCTCCCCACGAGTGCCCGGAACAGGCTAAGGGAGGCTGGGGGAGGACCGTGGCGGAGATGCGCTTCTTCAGGGAGACCGAGTTCATCTCAAAGGGCGCCAGAAACGAGTGAGGACCAGGCGAGCTGGCCTCGCTGCAGGCGTCCTCCGTGCCAGGAGCGGAGCCGGTGCTTCACGCTCCCCAAGCCTTCCCATTCCCACAGACAGCGCCCTGCACAGGGGCCTCCCCCACTTCACAAGCAGGGGAACTCTGTTTAGAAGGAGATCATGCAGCTTGCTAGGATGCCACGGCTCCCGGACGCCCCCTGGAGACTGAGGAGCGGGCTGACCCAGGCCCGTCCAGGCAGTGGTTACTGTGCCGAGAGTGACAACTCACTCATTTAGCACTGGACCACGCAAAGGCTTCGCTCACCTTCCACCGCACAACTACACCGTGTGGCTCAGAGAACAGGAACTGAGATGCCCACTTTATAGAGGGGGAAACTGAGGCACAGAGAGCTGAAAAGTCAAAGCCGAGACTGGAAACCCAGACTCGTGGTCCCTGCCCCGGGCCCTTTCCTCCCACCACCCCCGTGGGAATTGTCCCTCCACCAGCTCCCGCACCTGCGTCGGGGAAACACACAGGTGAGAGGCTCACGAAGCACGACGGTACCTGAGTCCTGAGAGCAGCTGAAGCCAGTGTCCCCGGTGCTGCTGCTGTGCCCCAGGGGCTGTCCGCCTGCCATGAGCGCCGTGAGGTGCGGGGACAGGCCCAGGTCTGAAAGGCAAAGTTGGCATTGAAGGCGCGACCACAGCCCGCCGAGGCAGCTGACCTGCCCATCCGGGCTTCCCCGCAGACTGCCCCCTCCGCCTCCTGCCCTCCTGCTCGCTCTAGTCCCCCCGGCAACGCTTGCCCCCAGCCCCTGAAAGACAGGCCACGCCAGCTGCTCCGCCCCACTCGCCCCTCGCTCCCGGCCCAGCGTGCGGGGCTCGCCGGGCTCCCCAAAGGGGAGGCTGCCCTGACAGTGTCAAACACCAAGAAGGCAAGTGGGAGCCGAACAGTCTTCACCTCCTGAAATCCGACTTGAACACCAAAAATGGACTTTTTTAAAGAGGCTTAAAACCCAAAGGGGAGAGAATTTCTGGAAGCTGGAAAGCAGACGGGTGAGGGCAATGAGCTGACGCAGGAGCGCGAATGGCGCCGGCAGTGGGGGAGGCCCCGACAGCTCGGGAACCGGGGGCCCAGGAGACAGAAAGTCCCCAAGGGCAGCAGCTGGGCCCCTCCCCTGCTCTCTGCAGTCTGGGCTCCGGGCACCTGACCTCGTGTTGGTAGGAGAGTGGAGAGTGACCCGGGGCACAGCTGAGGCAGGCGACACGGTAAAGACTGAGGGGACAGTGAGAATCCACTCGTCCCTCAGAGGGACCCTGGCCCCTGGTCCGCGCAGCCTGGGCTGGGCACTGGAGAGCTCTTCCCCGGGAGAACCCGCCCGCCCCTGGAAAAGACCTGCAGATCCCGAGAGCGGGGAGCCGGGAAATGGCCCTGCCAGGCTGCCCCGCGGTCACGGCCGCCCCATGCTCTCGCTGCGGGGCCTCGTCGTTAAAAGCGAAGGGGTGCCCGCCGACGCGAGGCATGCGGGGAAACGTGCTAGCGTAAAAGACAGGTGGGAAGAAAAGAAAAAAGGAAAATGGATCTCAAAAGAGACAATACAGGCAGCTTGTAAGAAAGCAAAACAAAATTATAATTGGGTAACCTCAGAAAGCAGAGAAAATAAGGAATCCACAAAAAAGAGTTGGAGGCTATAAAAAGGGGAACATGGAGATAACACAAAACTCTGAAAACCTAAAAATATAACAGAAAAAATTAAACCCCTCAGATCTCACGAGGAAGACCTTCTGCCGAGCAGACTGAATGAGAGCTACACAAAGGACCATCTCGCGTCCTACAGTGCTCTCACAGGTAACAGAGACCTCATTCTTCACTCGCACCCTAAATCTGAGGGCACGAGGTACCAGAACATACTCTCCCTTCTTCCCTGGTGCCATGGAGGAAATGTGGCAGGGGAGGAGCCACCGCAAGCTTCTCTCAGAACCTCCCTCTCATGCCTGTCCCTTACTGGGGGTAGGGGCTGGGACCAGAGCAGACCCACACCCGCCCCTGCATATGACCAACCCCTCCAGGGCCTTGGCCTGAGAATGCGACTGTGCTCACAGGACGTCTGGCTCGGGGAGCGGAGCCCATGGGGCCATTCCCCGCCAACTGGGATAGCTGAAGCCACAGTGGGTTTTGGACACCATCTCTGAGGCTGCGGTGGAAGCCAGGAACGTGTCTGGGTCTCCACCAGTGGGAGGATCACTGGAGCCAGGCCCACGTGGCTCCGCTGAAAGGTCTGGAAGCGGAGTGGCCAGGTGGCACCCCTCTATTCTGTGTCTACCCTGCACTCGCCCCTGGGATTTTTCACAGGAAAAAATACATCTACTGGGCTGGGCCCAACCCAACCCCTCGAAAACAAACAAACAAAAAAGCACAAAGGCACAGGCCCAGGGAACAGGTCCATGGCTCCCCAGAAGCGTACAGTGGGTAAAAGTCATAGCACCCCTGAGGAACTAAGAGAACAGGGGTGTGAGTCTGAAGCGAAGCAGGCACTTTGAAGCAACAAGACCACCTCCAGGTGCCACCAGGAAAGGAACTAAGAAAAGGAAGGGAGGAAAATTCAAAGACTCCAGGGTCTCCCTGCCCTCCTCCAGCCAGACCCCTTCAAGAAGGACCTGGAGTGAGGTGTTTCCCCCGGGTAAATGTGAGCAGGGGTCTCCTCCCCAGGAGACACCTGGAAAGGCTCTGTCCCCAGGGACGTCTATTCACACATCAGCCCCAGGTGAGAGCAGCATCTGGAGAGGCTGCCCCCCCCCCCGCCTGGCCCGGGCCCCCTCTCCGGCTGGGGCAAGGGGATGCTGGGCTGTCCGGCCCTGGCCGCAGTGAAGGGGCTGGATCTGCCGGTGAGGGCTCACGGAGGAGCTGGCCTCTCCTTGGCTCCAATGGCCAGTGGCCACCTGTCAGCTTTGGATTTGTACTTTAGCATCTTAAGACCAAATGTTGGCATTTAGCTCACGTTTCAGCACTAGCAGCCACTGTCCCCTCCAGGGCTGACCTGTCCACCATTAGGCGGCACTGCCTGGCAACCTCCAGGTAGCCCAGAGATCTAAATCCCCAGGTGAGCCCTCCCTGTGGAATCTGCTAATGATCCCTCGAAAGCAGAAGGCATTTGGTGGCCCAGTGACTGCTGGCACCCCAGGGAAAGCCTAAGCTTTTGCACTTCCTCAGTTTGGGGAGAACACAATGCGAAAACCAAAATCCGCTGATTACGGCTTAAATCTACGATGTGTGAAGTAAACACTGTCAAGTGCTTGTGAAACTCCTGACATCCGAGTCAGCTGGGAAGCTCCAGATATGCGTGGAATTCTGCCTCTGCCTTTGCTCATACGCACTCTTTTAGGGAAGTTTATGATTCCATTTACTGATTCCTTTGGTTAAAACTTCCCAGGTACCCACACAAATGGAGAGGAACAAAACCAAAACAGAGGCTCCAAGTCCTTTCTTGCTGGCTTTGGAACAGATCTCATCATCTTCCTCACCCTGTGCAGAGGGCGGGACACTGGCAGGGAAAGTGATCTGGGCTTAGGATCTGCTGCAGATCAAAGCGATGCCCACAGAGGGCGCGACACAGGGTCTGGGCAGCCCTGGCTCAGACAGAGGGACCAGGGACAGGAGACGGAGGCCAGGGCTCTCCCTCCAGATCAGCAGGGCAGTCGCATTCCTGGCGTGGACAGCACAGGGTGCGCGGCTGGGCTGGGCTGCCTCATTCTGCTTTGGTCCCTGACGCTTGGTGGCGTCCTCCTGGGGGACAAGGACCTTCTGGGAAGAACAACAAGGATCCTCCTACTCCCATTCCTGGGTGAGGCCAACGACTCAGAGCCCATCATCCCTCCAGACTGCTTTTCCCTAAGTGAAGACGGGACCGCAGCTGCCTGGGACTCGCCAGCCCGACCACGGCTGCCGTTTCCCGCCCCACAGCTGTGCTCACAGCCCCACCAGCTCTTCTACAACAATCACAAGTGACTCGTACGGAAAATGCTGGCCCCCAAAGCAAATGCTTCTTTTTGTTCTAGCTCCCCTCTCCTCCTCCATTCTCTTTCCTCATTTTTTTCCTTCCTCATTCTTAACTTGGTTGAAACAGAAAACATTTATTATTTCTTGCCTAGAAGATAAGCGATCTTACAAAAATCTCAATAAATAAGTCAATCAGTGAGACGAAGCCAAACACTGAATGTACTGCGGATCACAGGTCACGCGTGGAAATGTGGGTTTGCAACTAACTGGCAGGGGGTGGGCGTTTCAGTCGTTAAAATACTGGGATCCAGGGAGATTTTTTTTTTCCTATGGTCAAAATAAAAAGTCCCAGGCTTCCTTTCTTTCCCAAGAAACGACACTCCATCATCCAAGAAATACCAGCGATGCTGGCGTTTCAGTGCCACATGGAAAGGACCTCCCGTCATCACTGCCACTCAGAATTTATAATTAGGAGTCATTATTTCTTTCGCCCTTCTGAGACCCCTCATTTCTTGAAGAAGAAAAATTAATGAGAGCGGTTCAAAGAGAGGCCCAAAGTCATGCAGCAAGAGATTCAGACTGCAGTCCCAACTCAGTGCCCTCAACGTCTCTCTTCCAGGCGACGCTCTCCCTCAAACTTGGTCCTAAAAATCCAGCCACCTCCTTTCAGAACAACACGGTAATAACTGCTGGAGGCAAGACCCCCCCAACTCGTGCTAAAAACCGTGGGTGAAGGCTGAAGGGGAAACAGGATATTTGCAACGTCTCAAAGAATCTCCTCTGCTGTATTTATTAATTACAACAGAAAAATAAGTGACGGGACAGTGGAGAAAGCTGACGGCACCTTACCTAAGAGACTGGGGGTCACATAACTAGTAATGAGGCACATTGATGAGGTGCCCCTGACAGGACGCACGGAGAAGAGCACGTCACCCCTGCTGCATTTGTGCCAGCAACACAGAACCCCACTCTAAGCTTCAAAAGCATCAGACACAAAGTGAAGGGCACTCCACAAAATACCTCGTGAACCAGGTGTGGTGGCTCACGCCTGCAATCCTAGCACTCTGGGAGGCCGAGGCAGGAGGATCACTTGAGCTCAGGAGCTCAAGACCAGCCTGAGCAAGAATGATACCCGTCTCTACCTAAAATAGAAAAAACTAGCCGGGCGTGGTGGTTCGCACCTATAGTCCCAGCTACTCAGGAGGCTGAGGCAGGAGGATCACTTGAGCCCAGGAGTTTGAGGTTGCTGTGAGCTATGATGATGCCACTGCACTTTAGCAGGGGCGACAGAAGGAGATTCTGTCTCAAATAAATAAATAAATAGATAAACCTGATACATACAAAAGTGTCGATGTCATAAAAGACAAGGAAATTGTTAAAGATTGAAGAAGACAAAGGGAGATATGACAACCAAAACAATGCGAGGTCCTAAACTGGATCCTGGGACAGAAAAAGGACAGTAATGGAGCAGCAGGTGCAATCCGCATCAAGCCTGTAGGTAAAAGCCCTGCCCCAGTGGTGATGCTCTAGGTTTGATAACTGTGCTATGGTTGTGCAAGATGTTACTACAGGAGGAAGCAGAGTATATAGGAATTCTCTGTACTGTTTTCCAACTCTTCTGTAAATCTAAAATTATTTCAAAATAAAAAGATTAAAAAAAAAATCTAACTGCTAGATTAGATTAGCTAGAACTAGAGTAATTCCTCTGGGTCTCATCAAAGGTCGTAGGACCACGTCCGGAAACCTGTGTGCTCGGGCCGGTCACCAGATGGGGGAGCAGCCTCGTGCACACAAGATGGTGACATCTCAGTGGAGGCTGAGGTTTGGCACTGACACCCCTGAATGGTCAAGGAGCGTAGGAGGAGACCATCGACCTGTGAGGCAAGGCCCAGGGTGGAGGATGGTTGAGGAGGGGGTAGGGTGGACAGGCAGCTGGTGGACAGGAAGCGAGGACAAGAGGAAACACTGGAAGGAAAGGACTTGTCAAGAGGGGGGAGCCTGGTCCAACACTGGGACTCTTTTTTTCTCTAGTGAAGAAGTAACTGCACTCTCCAGATCCAGAAGGCCATGGCTGGGGTTTCAGAAAACAGATTTCTGAACAGTGACATCCCCTGCCTAATTCTTCCGGGATGCACATTGGGAGCTCTGCTGGCCTCCTCATCAGCACGGCCTCGAGCTGCCAAATGACAAAAGCTGCCTGAGAATCACAGTGGCTAGCCTAGAATGTTCCTTCCCCAATGGAAGTCTGTGCTTTGAGCCTTGAGGCCACAGTCAGCCTCAGGACTCGCCCTCCAACAGGCCAGCATGGCTGAGAGGACCACAGCTTACTCCTGCCTCAGAGCGCGTATCCCTTCCCTAACAAGTTCCCCGGTTACCTGTGATCCTGTTGGAAATGCTGAACAGCCTGGACGTCCTCCGCGGCTGCACAAACGGTTCCCGGTAGTACCGGTCCCCGAAGCACATGCCCAGTAGTTCCTTGCGAACCGTCTTGTTCCACAGTCCATAGATCAGGGGGTGGCAGATGGCACTGGTAAAGGACAGCCACGTGGCCCAGGTCTCCAGGGTCGGGGAGACAGAGTTCTTCCCCCAGAGGGCCTCGGAGGTGATGACAACCATGTAGGGGCCCCAGGTGACCATGAAGGCACCAATGACCACCAGGATGGTGATGAGGGCTTTGCACTGGTTGGCAGAGTACACCACACCCTGAAAGGCATTCCTCCTACTGCCCGAAGAGGAGGTAGAGGTGCTGGAGTTCTTCCTCCCGGTCCTCTGGGCATCCTCCTCCGCAATGACCACCGTGCCACAGTGCACCTTGCGCGCCTTGACCCTGGCCACGCGGAAGATGAAGCCGTAGCACACCAGCATGACCAGAAAGGGCAGCAGGGCACACCAGATCTGCCAGAAGGCGGTGTAGCCAGGCCCCCGGTGCCAGGCGGCCACACACATCCACTTGAACTCGTCAAACTCCACAGGTGACCAACCAAACAGGGGCGGCAGGCAGCCGACGAGGGAATGAAGCCAGATGTAGACAAGCGCCATCACAGCCCGGTTCCCCGTGATCTTCATGGGATACACCATGGGGTACAGGACAGCGTAGTAGCTAGAAAAGGATGGAGGGGGCGAGAGAGAGGAGTCAGAGGGAGAGAGAACACACAGGGTGGGTCCCCGCCGCTTTCCCGCATAGGAGGCTCTGTTGCATTTCTCACGTCCGACCCGCGGGGTGCATGCTGGCAGCCCCTCTCCCATCCTCGGACACGTTATAGACTGTACCATGCTTCGCAGTCCTGCAAGACTCTCCACGAGTGAAGAGCTGGACACCAGCAAGAACACAGAGCTCAGACAGTCCTGTTTCCAAGTGGCGACACCAGAACCCCTTCCTATTTGGAGGTGTGGCTAGTCTTGCGGCATTTACAGGGCTCCTGGGGGATTATGCATTGGGCCAGATCAGTTCTGCTGTTGCCGCCATTAATCCATTTAGGTCAGTTTCCAGAGGGATCATTAAGAACCACAGTGATATCTAAGGACTACGGGGTTCATTCACTCAGCGGACATCTACCAAACCTGCTACTTGCCAAGTCCCATGCTACGTCCTGGAAATGCAGGCGAGAAGCTGTGGGGAAGAGACACCTAAGCAGAGTGTGACAGTCTGCGGTGGTAAGGGCCACACTGAATCCTCACAGCTCTGAGCAGGGGTGTGTCATTATCTTCATTTTACAGATAAGGACACTAAAGCAGAGAAAAGGCTAAATAACCCGCCCCAGATACACGGAAGAAACAAGAAATAAACCCAGGCGATCTGACTCTATGATCCACAGCACACATGCCCGGCAATTCCTTGCACGCCATCTTGTCCCAGAGTCCATGGACCAGGGGGTGCTTCCCAATCACTTGGTGCTGTTAAGGAGGAGAGGCCAGAAGTGCTGTCCATTCAAACTGGCGGGCCCCTCGTCCGGACTGGAGGCCCAGAGCACGTTCCCTGGGGGAAGCGATGCTCCAGACCCGGGTCTCGAAAGGTCGGGGGCACTGGCCCAGGCAGAAAGCTAGCCTTGGCGAGGCACGGAGACGTAAGTCTTGAGGCACTTGCTCAATGGGGAAGCTGCATGGAGCACAATCAGGCAAGAACGCAGAGTGCGAGGTAGAGAGAAGAGACAAGAAGCCAGCAGGTGGGCAGGCGCCATGGCGCACAGAGCCTTGTAGGCCTAGGTAAGGACTGGCCCTTTAACCGGAATGGGTGGGAGGACTCAGACCGTAGGGTTGAAAGTAAACCACCACCCTCCCCACCCAGACATTTGATTCAAGGGAAACAGGGCCTTCCCATGAGGGCGATGTGCAGAAGGGAAGGGGTGGCCACACTAATGCTGCCGGTACAGCCAGGACACTGGGAAATGATTGTGGCTGTGAGCACAGGCCGAGATCTAGCCTGGGAGGCGAGCGCGTCAGCGTGTGGGGCCTGAGGATAAGCCGTGATCATGGTGTGGGTTACAGAATCACTGCACGCTGGCCTGGGGCAAGGCGATTACTGTCCCGCACTGCTATCTGGGTTTGCATCTTGCAAAGGCCATGCAACCCAATGGAAAAAGCATGCCTTTGGAGTTGGACATTCAAGTTCAGATGGAAGTTTGATGTCTACTAGCCGTGTGACCTTGGGTAGCTGAGTTAGCCTCTCAGAGCTTCAGTTCCCGCATCTGTAAAATGGAAATTGCAGAACCTCTGTCACAGGTCTGCTCCCAGAACGAATGGCAGCTAGTGCATAAAAGGCCTGGGTCACACCCACCCTTCAAAGGCAGTGGGGACAGCCTGTGCCCTGCCTGACCACTGGCCTCTCCCCATCCCCCCTGAGGATAGAAGCCCACATTGCTTGTACTCCTGCAAAACTTCCCTGACTCATGAGGGACACTGGGCCCTTCTAAGCCCCGGGGGATGAAAAAACCACTAGGGTGGTCTCCTTCCCATTGCCAGGTGGGCTGCTGAAACCTCATTCTGGCAAATGGAAAGTGAGGGGGTTTTGCTAGAGTGGGATTGGGGGCGGGAGGACAGGTTCTAGAAGGTTCCTTCACTTTCAAAAAGAAACAAGACAGAGATTTCTACTTTCCTCTGTCCCTTTAAAGAGCGCGCAGGCGCTCCAACCTCAGACACCTCAGGGCGGGTGTCCAGCTGGGTGGGGGAGGCCAGGTCTGGCGAATGTTAACTGTCCTGGTCCTTTGACCAACCCCGTCCTGGCAGTCATAAACGTGATTATGATTCACAGGCTGTCCTCTGCCAGATTCCCTTCTGGCTCTTCTCAACACCCACTTCTTACTATTACTTTATGGCAAGACTTCTCCTTTATGGTGACAAATGTTTCTGTACTTGCTGGCTAAGGCTCGGGCACCGGCAATTCCAGTGGGACCTGACGGTGATTCCTCCCAGCTGAGTCCTGAGTCCCATCAGGACGCCCGGGCAGTGGAGCTGGGTGCTGGCTCCCTTGGGGTCAGTCTCCTAGAGTCCAAAAGGCCCCACAGGTCACAGCCCTGCCCAGGTACAGCCACACCCTCCAGAGGTTACTTTGTATAGTACTGGGGGGAGGGGCAGGGCAGTAAAATTTACATACATTGAAATGCACGAATCTATACTTCTATTAAGATAGAGAACATTTCCACATCTCCCAGGAAAAAGATGGGTTTATGTGTTCTCAATCATAGACCTGAAACTTTTTTTTTTAAGCTGAAGCCTCATTTAGGACTAGTTGTAGATTCAAAGGAAAACACAGAACTAGACCAACTCCCTATTCCCTTGTGGGTTAATACAGGCCAAAGACAGGGGTTTTCTTTTGCTTTCTGTTCTCCTATCTTCTGAGGCTCTCAATCTTTTCTCTAACTCATTATTAGACATGAGCCCACCCACGACCCCTGACCCCACAGGAAGATTTCATGGTGTCACGTGTAACCAGAAAGTTGCAGCACATAGGTGTTCCAGAGGCTAAGCTCTCCCGCCACAAGACCAACCAGTTTGACAGCAATGCCTGTTTTTAATAAGATGTTGTCACTTAAAACACAAAATCTAAGCCAACTCCGGCTACCTTGGGGCAAACACATTAACTTACACTGAACAGTCTCCAAAATCACTAGTAATCCTCGCTCTCACTACCCATCCCATTGTTCTAGCTGCTTTCATGTTTTGAAGTACTATTTTTAGACCTGCAGTTTCACCCACCAAAAATGGAAGGAAAATATAGAACTATTTTATACGCACCTGGCATCCTGGCAGCTTCACAGCTATGCTAGGTGACCACACGTTACAGACTTATGCGTATTATAGTTACAGACTTAGTCACAGTGACGCTCTTCTTGGGTCAAATGGCGCCCCCAGCTGGCCCTATTCCACTGGGCTGGTTTAGGATGTTGACACCAAAACATGAATTTCACTCCAGGTGCCATTCTTTGTATATTCTGTCTTTGTTCTTTTCATGGGGCTACAAGATGGACGCTTTGGGCTCATCTGTCCAACCAGTTTGACAAATTTCTTCAGCTAGGACTCTCAGTTGGGAACCCCCAGGGATATACGGCAATGTCTAAAGATATCTGGGGTTGTCTCAGCTGGGGAGGTGTTCCTGGCATCAAATGGATAGAGGCCAGGACGCTGCTATAGATCCTACAACGCACAGGACAGCTCCTCGTCACAGAGAATTAATTACCTGGCCCCAAATGTCAACAGTGCTGACGTGGAGAAACCCTGGACAGGCCAAGTCATGATCATTTCCATGACCATAAAAATAGTAGCTGTTCCAGGCAATTTGTGTTTGCAAGCCACCTGCATGACCAATAATCAAAAGTAAATTGCACCTGCCATTAAAATATCTGAAGACACCAAATTTGACAGCATCTATATATTTCAGTCATGCAGATCTGGCCAAAGCACTGTGAATCCATCCCGCGCAAGGGAAAATGAACTATTTTCCAAAGATAACCAGGCCTTGATAAGTTGCCATGGCAGTGAGGCAGGAGTCCTTTCTCCACCAGCCGCTCTGTCACTGGTGACCCCGGGGCTAGGCTGTGGGGCCTGAGGGGCGTGGATTATGGCTCTAGTGGGAGGAACCTGTCTGTGTCCAGCCATCCCCCCGGGGCTCCAGCCATGTCAGACACCACACACTCAGCACACGGCCGTGCACTTCCGTCACGGTCAGTGTATTCTCCTCCTCTGCATTGCCGCAGTACCTTACACATCCTGGCATTGTATACGTATCATATGGTCCCAAAGTTATCTCATCACATGCCTGCCCCCCTACACTGCGAATTTCTCAGCATGTCTATTCACCTTCTTCAGCTATGTATTCCCAGCATCAACCACTGTGCCAGGCATACATTGGGTGCTTAACAAATGCTTACCAACTGAATGAACAGAGGCCACTCCTTTAGTTGGAAGGGTCCTTTCCTCCTCTTCCATACCTGTGAGATGCCACCTGCTATTTAGGACTCGGCTCAAATGCTATTCATACATCCACAGGATGGAATATCACACAGCCATTAAAAATCACATTCTTGAAAGGTACGTATAGATGGAAGGAAATGCTCATGATCACGTGGTAAGTTAAAAAAAAGCTGGTCACAAAACCATACGTTCCATGAGCCTATTTCAAAAATTTACTGTATACAACCAAAAATTACTGGAGGCAAATATAGTAAATATATAAACAGTGATTGCTTCTGATAGATTAGATTATGAGTATTTCTTATTGCATTCATTATATTTTCTGCATTACTTCTATTACTAAAAGAAAAAAAGACATACAGAGAAGCTATTCTTGCAAAGCCACCCCCTGTCTGTGATGAACAAAGCGACTGTCAGCAAAATCCTAATAAACAGGGGTTGGAAACCGGCTGCCGAAGCCCATGAGACCCGCACAGCGGAGCCTGACAGCACGATGCGGGCATCTCCAGGACCTGCGAGATGTGGCGGAGGAACGTCGGCCGTGCCGGACCGTCCTGCACACCGGCTGTACTGAGCGGGGAGCTACCCAGTTTTCTAAAAGCGCACGCCCCTCTCCCAGGTGTCACTGTCTTCGTTGGCTGTCTTCCTTCCCCCGCCCTCCTTCCAGTCCCGGACTGAGGAGTGACGATGTTTCCCTCTTTGGGCTCCACCAGGTGAGCTCCGGCCAAAACCAGAGCACGCCGGGGCGGGCAGCCCGCTGGGGGGAAAGAGCGGCAGAGTCAGAGCCCGGCCCCAGCGCTACTCTCACCCTTCGCCTTCCTCGCCTTCTGTTTCTTCATCTATAAACTGCGAATTGGAGGTTTCTAGAACTATTTTTTTAAGCAATGGTATCTCTTTTTAAAAAAATAAAATTGTGTGCAGTATAGACAGTAAAACCAGGCCTGCCTGGTTGCAGAGACGAGGCAGGGGCAGACCACCGCTTGCTCATCTTTCCCGGCACAGACCCCTGACACTCTCCCGAGGAGCTAAAGCAGTCGACAGTCACCGCACCTGGCCATTCCGTGACCCTTCAACTCTACGTCTGAGGCAAGCTTACCGGTCGATGGCAATGACCCCGAGGGTGAGCATGCTGGCCGAGCTGATCAGCAGGTAGAGGAGGGCGGAGAAGTTGCACCAGACCACGCCAAAGATCCATTCCCTGCGAATGCAGCTGGTCACCACGAAAGGCAGCACCAACACCGACAGCAGGAAGTTGGACAGGGTCAGGCTGAAGACGAACTTGTTGCTTAGGGTGAGGAGGTAGGACTTCTTGTACAAGGTGACCACGATGACCAGGTTGCCCAGGCAGACAAAAATGGTGATGACAATGATGGCGATGAACTCAGTGACAATCACGCCCCCTTCACCAGCCTCCTCCGCAGTGAGGTTACGCAGCTCCTTCCTGTGGCCGAGGGAGGAGCTGAGGCTCATGGTCAGTGCGCCCCGGCATGGGCTGGGCAGAGCATGCTGGACAACTGGAAAACCAAGATTCATCAAATCACATCGTCTCTGCTTTACAAAAGAGGAAGCTGAGGCTTAGAGAGGTTAAGTGCTATGCCCCAGGTCCCCAGCTGGTCCAGACACCCTCAGCCAGTCTCCCCCACTCAAGCACTACATAAACCAATTTTGCGGGGCACTCACTGTGTCCCCCTGAGCGATTTCCTCCTCCGTCTGAACTACCCTATCCATGTCCCCAGGGCCAGCGGTTCAAAACCTCTAATGTGCTTAAGAGTCTCCTGAATGCCAGTTCAAAAAGCCGATGCTTGACCTGCATCGTGAGATTCTGGTCGCAGAGGTCACAGGTAAGGCCCAGGAAACTGCATTTTAAACAAGCAGGCTGGGGCTGGGTGCAGGAGCTTGTCACAGGTGGTCCATGGGAGACACTTTGCAGACTGCTGCTTTTAGACCCTTGCTCCTCAGGGTGGGCCCAGACAGGCAGGATCAATGTCACCTGCGAGCCTATCAGAGATGCAGAATCTCAGGCCCATCTCTAACTTACAGAATCAACATCTGCATTTTAATCCCATCCCTAGTTTAGTAGTGTGCACATTAAAGTTTGATAGCAAGATTATTATAGGAACTGTTTTCAGTTCCCTGAGCAGGGTTTTAATCAAGTACGATTTACACGGGGAGGTTGTTACTGCTCTCATCAGCCAGGCGAGGGAGGGCAAGCACTGGCCATAAGGGTAAGTGGAGGCACCACTTGGGGTCTTGGCCCTCAGACACCACTGCCAGGGGCAGTCCCTGCTTTCAGGACACTGGCTCAGGATCTTGGCTAGAACTCACGGTTGACATGTTTCAACATTAAATCCTACAAAGTAATGTTTCTGAAAAACTCTTCATATACTTTAGTTAGCCAAAAAATCCTACAGATCACTTTCCCCACCTGCTCTCCCTCTTGACACACAGAGGACACCAGAAGGAAAGACTGCTCTCCATGAGCCAGACAAGAACTCTGGTGCTTAAACTACCTAAACAGCAAGAGGGCCATCCCCACACCCCTCCTGGCAGATCTGTCCCCTCTATCCAAACACTTTTGGCCACAGGGAGTGTGCAGGTTAAGAAGGCAGCCCTTCCCCTTCCAGCAGTCCTAAATGCCAGTAAGGACGCCTCCCTTACAGCGAGCCCGACTGTGCCGCAGGTTAGAGCCGCCGACCCTAACCCTGCTATCCAGAGCAACAAAGAGTTCAAACCGCTCTTCCACTTGGCAGCCTTCAGATACTTCAAAAATTGCTTGCTTTCCTTCTCCAGATTAAATCTCTCCAGTTCCTGATCATTTGTCACTACACGGTTTCCAGATCCTTCATTGACTCGGCCTCCCTGCTCTGGATTTATTGACAGATGTCTACGACCTTCTTGATTTGTGGGCCCCAAAACTGAACATCCCCTTCTGGATGTGGTCTGGTAAGTGTCAGGTCCAAAGGGGCAATGTTCTCCACGATCAGGATAATCCCCTTCCACTATTCACTCTAAGAATACATTTTCCTGTAACACCTCCATCGTTCTGTTGGGCTTATATAAGTGTATGATCAACTAAAACCCAAAGTTTATACATACATGAATTTCTGTGAAGGCAGATGTCCCCAACTGTGAACATATGGAATTAATGTTTTCAAGCCTAAGTGAAAAACAGTATTTCTACTAAATTTTATTTTGTGCATTTTGGCCCGTATTTTCAGGCTACTAAAATATTCTGAATTTTGGTTGTTATGCAACAAATTAGTTATTCCAGCTTTGTGTCATGAATATACTTTATAGGTATGCATTCTATCTCTGTGTCTCTGTAAGGTTGTTTATGGTTTTTGTCTTTTGCTGTTGAGTTCTGGGTTTTGTGGACTCTTTAAGTAAATTATTAATTGACATCTCACAATGAAGTTTCTACATAAATCATATTCTTGAGTTAACTGCACAAGGGGTAACATGGGGATTAATAAAATAGACTTTGAGTTGATCTCATAGAAGTGAAAAATAGAACAGAGGATACTAGAAGCTAGAAAGGATGGGGGAAGGGTAGGATACAGAGAGATTTATTAAAGGATACAAAATTACAGCTAGATAGGAGAAATAAATTCTAGTGTTCTATATCAGGGCAGGATGACAATAGTTAGCAATAATATATAGTTTCAAGTAGCTAGGAGGAGGATATTAAACATTCCCAACACAAATAAAGATAAACTTTTGAGATGATGGATATGCTAATTATCCTGATCTGATCACTACACATTATATGTATGGAAACATCACTATGTGCCCTATGAATATGTACAATTATTATTTGTCAATTTAAAAAATAAAATTTAAAAAAAGAAAACAGACTTTGAAACACTAGACAAACGAAATAAGGGGAGAAAATATTTACAACTAATATCACAGATAAAGGACTAATCATCCTAATTTATAAAGAATTCCTAAGAAATAAAGAGAAAAACAGATGAAAAACCAGAATAGGAAAGATGGCTAAAAGACTGTTACGGTTTGAATGCTTGTTGTCTCTGAAACTCATGTTGGAACTTCATCCCCAGTGTGGCAGTACTGAGAGGTGAGGCCTTTGAAAGAGGTGACTGGGTCATGAGGGCTCTGCTCTAGCGAATCATTCATGGATTTATGGGTTAATGGGCTCTTACAGGAATGGCACCAGTGGCTTTATATGAAGAGGAGGAGAGACCTGAGCTAGCACACTCAGCCCCCCCACCATGTAATGCCCTGCGCCACCTGGTTGGGAGTCCCCACCAGCAAGAAGGCTCTCACCAGATGCAGCCCCTCAACCTTGGACTTCTCAGCCTCCACAACTGTATGAATTAAATTCCTTTTCTTTGTAAATTACCCAGTTTCAGGTTTTTGTTATAAGCACCAGAAAACAAAGACATAAACAGAGAGTTCACAACAGAAGACAACCAATGGTACTTAAACATATGCAATGATGCCCGTTTTCACTAAAAATAAGTGGAATGCACATTAAAACTACGCTGAGACACCACTTCTTTCCTTCGAGACCAGCAAAACAGTTCAGAAGGTTAGCAGCACTCCCTGCCGGCAAGGCTGTGGGCAAACAGGCACTCTCCTGCACTCCCAGGGGAACACAAATGGCTCAGCCCTAAGGAGAGGAATTGGGCAACAGCCAACAAAACTACACAAGCATGCACCCTTTGGCGCAGCAACTCCGTTTTTAAGTATTCACCCTCAATATACAGCTTCATAATGTAAAATAACAGAAGTACAACGTTATTTTATTCATCGAGGCACTAG